CAAGAACATGTGACCCCCCGCCAGCCAAACTGGAGCACATTCCAGGGTACCTCCCCCGGGATGCACAAGAGCACTCAACAAGCAGGAATAACAGTAGGGTACCCTGTTCGAACCGACCTCGCTCTTATACCTCGGTCCGACCATGCAGTCGGCCCGTATCATAAGGATGCGCGAGAAGGATGCAAGGGCCTTGGAAGGCCGTTTCGAGGCTTTCCGAGCGGGGCGCGGCCAGCGAAAGTGGCCAAGAATGGACCGAAGAGGCAAGGATGCGAGGGGTATCCTTGCGAAGGTTGCCCATCCCGACTCTGCGGGTTGACTGTACTCCATCTACAGATCCTGGAGCGTAGCAGGAAGCATGCGCACGAAGAAGCGGCAGAGAACTGAGCAGGAGCAGCTCCCAGGTTGGACGTGCGCAGACAAGGAAGCTAGACACCTACGACGGCCTCGGGGACCCCGAGCCCGAACAGAAAAGCACACAAGGCGACGAGGTGCTCCCAGAGATCCAGCGGCGCGAGGTTTCACATGTGTAGGCGTAGGTCGGGCAGGTCCTCCTACAGGCGAATTCTTGGGCGAACAATGAGAAACATAGTCAACTAACAGTCCAATGGTCAAAAGATCATAGAAACATCGTCCCCAGACTATTTTGTGGACTCCTCTTGTGAAGGGGCCCTGGGACACACAAATAAATACACTCAGATAAAACATATTCCCCATATTTTCCCATATGTTCTGGGTTTTTGTCTTCCCCCCCACTTCCCATATTTTCCAATATTTTCTGGGGAATCGACCATTAATTGTGTCTGTGTGTTTTTTCCCTCCTGATCTTGATCCCTCCTGGAGAGGGGCGCGCCCGACTCGAGTGCAGGGCACTGCACCCGTCGCTCTGCTCGCCAGCCCCCCGGCCGTGGCACGGCCGCCGGAGGGCCGGCATGGCGAGACCCCAACAGCATCGAGATACAGTCGGGGCGTTGACCTAAGGAACCCTGGATGAGGAGCGAGGCCCCTTCTTTCCAGAAGTCGCACTTCGATCTCGCATCGAAGACCTGACGAACGTTGCCGTGCACCCAGGCATCCCAGTCCCGCGATCGGCGGGCCGCCGACTCGTGCGGGCACGCTGCGTCTCTCTCGCCCTCTCCGCGGGGTCTCTCCTGGGGCGCCCGCGCGGCCCTGGCTGGACGCAGCTCGAGATACGGTCGGGGCGTTGACCTAAGGAACCCCAAAGGAGGAACGAGGCCCCTTTTTTCCATAAGTTAACCTTCGATTTCCTGTCGCAAACATGAGGGAAGCCTGAGGCAAGCTGTGAAACACTAAGGAACACGGAGCCCCTCCCCAACGAGAAGGGTTCCTTCTTCAGGGCCCCGACTGTAGGTGAGGCCGCGGGGCCGCTGGGTCCAAGTCCAAGCGAAGACTCATGACTCGTGGCCCGCCCCAAAAAGGAGTGTCGTTTAACCGACCCCCATCCCCAGCGGCGTGGCCTGGGCCCCGCTGGCCGATTGAGCCCCCCTGGATGGGGATGACGGGCCGTTCTCTTCGGGCTTCGAGGGGTGTATCCCCAACTGGCGTGGTAATTTGGTGGGGGTCTCGAAGGGGATGGAGATGGGGATGGGGATCGGTCAAACGATACCGAAACAGCGCGCGGTCCGGGCTCGATTCGAGACCGCCCCCGCCCGCTGGTCCCTCCCCTGCCGTGGACAGTGCGCGGCGAGGCGTCCGCCTCGCGCCGTGTCGATCACCGACTCCACCGCTGTGGAACCCGTGGGAAAAAAAAAACACACACACAAAAAAAAAACACTGTGGGAAACACACACAAACACACACACACACACACACACTGTGGACAAAAAACACTGTGGGACAAAAACACTGTGTGTGTGTTTTGTTGTGCGTTTTCGCGTTTTTGTGATCACCGACCCCACCGCTGTGGAACCCGTGGGAGATCGGCCCAAACCTCGTCGCGCAGCGAAGGCGCACGCCGGAAGATGGCCGGCGGCCTGCGGGTTCCGGGGGCAGCTGCCGTCCCCAGGACCGTCGAAGAGCGGCTGGGGAGGAAGAGCGGGTCACGCGGAACTGGGCATCGCTCGGACGTCCATTCCCTGTGTTTTTTTCGGTTTCGTGCGTGTTTTTTTCGCCAAGTGACAAAGGATGCTCCTCGATGGTCCTCGCCGAAGAAAAATGCACACGTCCGAGCGATGCCAGGGGGAGGAAGAGCGGGTCACGCGGAAGCGGTCCAGACCACTGGGGGGCCCACGCTGTGAGCAGAGCGCGACGTCGGAGGCCAGGCGGAGGGGCAGGGCGGAGGGGAAGGACGACGCCGAGTCGGCGACGGAGGGGGCCTGTGCTCGGCAGCCGAGCGCCCGCAAAGCGACGAACTGGCGCGTGCGGGAGGCTGTTCGGTCCGGACTGCAGCTGGATGCCGGACAATTTCTAGGGGGCCACATGCGAACCCCACCCCTACCCCGCACGACATCTGAGGGGGAGGGGTACGGTTCGCATGTGGCCCCTAAAGATGCGTTGGCGCGGCGGTGGTTTCAGCGAACATCGCGACATCAGTGTGGCACACAGCCCGGCCATTACAGCAGCCACGATACGATACCTGCTCGCAGCGCCGTCCCCAGGATCGCCATATACCGCACATCTAACATGGGCCGTGCAGCTGGGATGGCAGATCGTGATGCACAGACTGGACTTACACCGATGCCGTAAAGGAGCACCAGCCTGCTTAGCTGTCGACACCTGCACTGTGACCGCCAGCAGCGGTTCACGTTCAAAGATCGGGCGAGCTGTTCGCACTGCTAGACTCTGCGAGAGGCCATAGTCTCGAGCGCGAAAGATACCCGTACCCTTACCTAGACAGGGTGGCAAGGGGCCAGGGGGGCGGCTCGTCGCAGCTGACGGCGGCTGCACAAGTGTAGAAACGACAGCCGATCGAGCATTACAGACCGCTGTCTTCTCGGGGCGCGCGTTAGCACCGATCGCACGTGCGTTCGAATCGGCGGAGTACCCGGCCCTGCGTTGGTTGTTGTCGATGTAGACCAGCTACTGCGGAGGCGCGCCCCCAGACACACATCCGGGCGTTGAGGAGTCAACGCGCACTCGGGGGCGCATGCGAACAACTCTGGCGCGAACGTCATTGCGCGACAACCGCCCTATCGCGAATTGCTCGATGCAGAGATATCGCGAATCTGTGCCCTGGGCGAGGTCGCCAGAGGCCGCCCCCCTTGGACGGCCGTCTGCGGATCACCCCAGCTAGGCACGGCTGCCCCAGAAAATCCCCAAAACATACCCGTACCTAGCCAGGGTGCCGCAGCTCATCCCAGCTAGGTCCAGGTATGTTTCGGTGGTTGCAGGCAGGTCCCCGTACCTAGCCGAGGTGGCGGCAGGCCCAAAACGCTCTCGAGCACATATCATGCCCTCCGGAGCCGTCCCCGACGTGGCCGCTGCGGCCCCCTGGGGGCGCGACATTGCAACGTCGTTCCTCAGGGCAGGCCCAGACGCATTGGTTGCCAGGATAGCGAGGAAATTCAACTCTTTATCGATTGGGACAGGCGCCGCCACATATGGGCGGCTTTGAACCGCGCACGCACCACGATGCCCCGAGACGTCCCTAACAAAAACCAGCGCTTGTCGCTGCAATCAGACACCCAACCATCGAGCGCGCCATTGCGTCTTGACGCGCGGATGCTGCACTGGCGCGCGCGGGGCAAGCTGACCGGGCACAATAGCAAGCGCCCAGTCCCCCGGACGGCCCATCTCACCTTGGCTGGCCCCGGGTACGGGTATCTTTCGGACCAATGACATAGCAGCGTCTGCACAGCTCGCAAACAACAGTTTAACGAAGTAGAGGTTGACAATCCCCCCCGGGACAGAAGGATAGAGAAAACAACACTGTAGTGACCGCATATGTATCCCACACCAGGACAACCCATGCCCTCAAAAGGTTGCACGAGAGAGGCGCTCGTGTCAGATACGCGCTGCAAATTCAGAACAACAAAATATGTTACAAGTTCTGGTAGCGAATCGTCGCCCTAGGAAAACTCCCCACCGTGGCTTGGTCGCCCCAGGAAAACTCCCCACCGTGGCTTGGAAGTGCGCTTCCAGTCCAAGATATCGCAGCTTCAAATGGAAATGACCTTTGGCGGACTTGCCGCAGTGGAAGGAATGAAGGCTGTCCTTGCGTCAGTTGCGCCCAAGAGGGACATTCTACCGCTCGACAGGGAAGGTCGTGGGCTACCAAATGACGAACGAATCCCCATATGGAACGGCTGGACTTCACTGAGCAGATCGCCACGGAGACATGCTAAGCGAAACCTGATGCCCACAGCTAGACATGCTGCAAGTGCCGGACATCAATACCACCCTCGGGTCGACGCCTCCAGGCTGATCTGAATATCGCCATGTCTCCCAACTGTGGGAACGATGGCGCACTTCTTGTAAACAATACGGGGGATCAACCCGATAACTACCGCGCATCACGTCTATACTCCTCGAGCTGCGTGCAAGTCCTCCCCATCACGCATATACGTAAGTAGCGGGGAAAAGAAGAGGGGGAGAGACGAACCCAGAGATCTGGCGGCTCGGAAACCATGGAGACGTCCCTTAGTTTGCAAGATCTGCTCCTCTTTTCCCAGCCCAGAACCTGATCGGGACGAGAAATCGGCTCCCGGGGAAGGGGCCAATAGTATTCTTTCTGGGGGGGCACCCCACGAAAATGATGCGCAATGCGCTGGCGAAAGAAGAGAAGACCAAGTTGGTTGGTTGGACCTCTTTCGCTTCTAGGTTGAATCCGCGGGCACGGCATTCTTAACGCAAGACCGAATAGGAGGAAGGCGACCCAGAGAGGGACTCCGTGTTGTCCCGGCGCCCCGGCCACCGCGCAAGGGCCCGAGAGGGGAGGAAGAGCGCCCGAGGCCTCCACGTCGGCCTCGCGGCGAGGGGAGGAAGGCTGGGAGCTGACGTCACAACAGGGCAGCGGGGAGGGCCCACGCCATCGCAGCCCCCGCCTCGAGCGCGGACTCGAAGTCCAGGTCGACGGTCGAGCGCGGGCCGCACCTGCGGCGGAGGTGCGCGTGCGGCTCCCCCCTTTCCCCGTGCTCATCCAACCGCTGCTGTTCCCTGCGTCGCCTCTGCGTCCTCCCCCTCTCCCTCCTCCCTCCCTCTCGCTGCATTGCCCCCCCCCCGCCGTTGCACGAGGAGGGGGGTGGAGGGAGGAGGAGGAGGAGGAGGAGGAGGAGGAGGAGGAGGAGGAGGAGGAGGAGGAGGAGGAGGGGGAGGGGAGCAGGAGGAGGGGGAGGGGGAGGATGGGGAGGGGGAGGAGGAGGAGGAGGAGAGGAGGAGGAGGAGGAGGAGGAGGAGGAGGAGGAGGAGGCGTGAGGAGGAGGAGGAGGAGGAGGAGGAGGTGGAGGGAGGAGGGGGCGGAGGGGGTGAAAGGATGCGCGTGGCGGCCTCCCGCTTTCATCCCCCTCTCCACGCGCTCCTCCTCCTCTCCTCGCCCTCTCCTGCATCCCCTCCTCCGCCCCCTTTCCCACTTTGCGAAGAGAGGAGGAGGAGGAGGAGGAGGAGGAGGAGGAGGAGGAGGAGGAGAGGAAGAGGAGGAGGAGGAGGAGGAGGAGGAGGAGGAGAGTAGGAAGATGAAGAGGAGGAAGAGGAGGAAGAGGATTGGGAAAAGCAGGCGAACGTGGAGTAGGAAGAGAAACAGGGAGGAGGACCAGGAGAAGGAGGCAGGGGGTAGGAGCAAGGAGACACAGTCGGACAACGAGAGACAAAGTCGGAGCAACCCCCAACCCCCAGAGTCCCCCCAGAGTCTGGGGGCGCCCCAGAGTCTGAACAGCGCTTTTTTTCATTTTATGTGTATGAGTAAGTCTGGGTATGAGGAGGATGAGGAGGAGAAGAAGAGGAGGAAGGAGTATGAGGCGTCCAAGTAATAACAAGAAGCCCCTCTTAGGATATGGGGAATAACAAGAAGAAGACGAAGGGGTGGACGCCGAGGGCGACCGCTGTCGTGCAAGTAGGTGGCCGAAAGCGGTGCGGCGTCAGACCCAGACCCCGACGTCATGATTTGTTCGCAACGTCGACCGCCAAAGGTCTCGACCCTTTCCCTGGGGCCGGCGTTTCATCCTGAGTCGACGGCCCGCGCCTTGTAAGAAGCTTCTACGAAGCCCTCCCCCCTGCCCCCACCCCCCTCTGCGCGTGGCTGACTTTCATGCTGAATCGTTTTGTTGACGGTCCCGAGACCCGGCGAGGGCCCCCGGAGGCCGAAAATAGCGGAACACCTCCCGTGGTGTTTTTTCCACAGCGCGAGGGGGCCTGGGGGCCGTGCGGCGACCTCGGAATCCCCAGACCTCACGGCACGGCCCGTCACCGCACGGCTCTTTGGGACCTGGGAGGCACCGGGGTCGTCGCCCCCGGAGAGGCATCGTCGGAGCACGGCCCGGGTCACGAAGCCGCGCGGTCGCCCCGAATCCCGAGCTGAGTCACCACGCGATGTGGCCACCAGGACCAGCTCGTGAGCGTTTTCGTACTTATTCGGCGTGCCGGCATTGGGCGGAAAGAGGCGGGAGAGGGGGGGTCTGGCTCCGGGCCTCTGCTTAGCACGACTGTTTGCAACACTGCGTCCTATGGGGGATACTCCACCTTTTTATCCGAGGCCGCACGACCCAGAGCAAGCAGCTTCATCGGGGATTTCAATCCTGGCCAACTTGAAGCCGTTGGCACGAATTGGAAGTCTCAGGCGAACTGGTCAACAAGCACCAAGGTACTTGAAGCCGCCAAGGCCACCACTCCGATAACCCTCTCGGCCGTAGTTTGCGCGACGACCACCACAAAAGTGTAGTCCACCACCACAAACGTGACGAGCAACATGACGCCGATGCGCCCCGCCAGCGCGAAGACATCAAAGAACTGACCCACCACTGACGCGCCCGTGACCATTAGCGCATAGACAGTTGCCGGCTGCACCCCAGCACCATACTTGAACTGGGCCACGAGTGAGAGCGCGATACGAGATATGAAGGTGAAGATGCCCACGCATGTGTTGCCAACTGACACCAGCGAGACCATGGCCAGGGCCGTCTCGGTACCGATGGGGAATCCAACTCTCTCGAGAACCATGCCCAGGGGGCTTACCGATTGCTTCGTGAGCCCCTCCACACCCACCATCGAGAGAGCCCCGTAGCACACGAGGGTGTACATTAAGCCAGTGGCCGCGATGGACATCATGACCACCTTCGGCAGCACAGTTTCTGCAGCTTCCACGTCTCCTGCCATGTCGAGAACACCTTGCACCCCGCCGAAAGCAAAAACAATTCTCGTCACGCTGACGGTCGCCTCCTGTATCCCTGGGCCCGGTAATGCTTCTTGCAGGTATGGTGCCGCAGGCATTACCGCGGCTGCAATCATCACCAGCGCAAGCCCACCGACCTCGATGACTGTCCCCAAATTCCCGATGTCAATTGCCGAGTCAAAGCCATGATGCACAATGAAGGCCACCGCAACCAGTACAGCTGCCTCCACCGCCCAGGGTGGCTGCACGCCAGGACCCTGAAACAGGCCAACAGCGAACCTCGCAGTGAGCTTCGAGGTCACGCAGAGAGCCAGGCTGCCCTCCACCAGCCGGAGAACTTCGAAAGCTATGGCGGCCCATGGGTGCAGTTTTTTTTTTGACAACAGTCAAGATGCTGCCTGCGTGCGGGAACTCACGAACAGTGCACGCTAACGCGAAGCCGTTGAGCAGCATGACCAGCGAGGCCACGACGAACATCAGCGGAGCCCACCTGCCGGATACCGCCACGATCTCGCCAATCAGCGCGTAGATGCCCGCGCCCACCATGAGGCCCATCGCCCAGAAGGTCAGGCGCGCGAGCTGCACATTGGCCATGCCGGGCGAGTGATGAAGGCCTCGCCTAAGCTTAAGCCGGGCGTGTCTCCCTACAAGGGGATTTGGGGCGAAAAATGAAACATTGTCAAACAATGATACAAAATGGCCAAAAGGTAATCAACAAAATCGCCCCCCGACTGACTATTTTTGAATATTCCGTCTGTAAAGGGACAGGCCCGACTTAAGCCTAAGGGGTGCAGGGAGGTAGTGTTGGGCTTCTGCACGCAGGGCTGGAGCACAAAAGAGGGACAAGGGCAGGCGAAGGAGATGCTCAGCAGGAGGACAGAAAGAACAGGAGGATATTTTTGTTGAGGAGCAGGAGATGGGAGCGGACAGCGATACTGTTCAGTCGGGCCTGTCCCTCTACAGGGGGGATATTCAAAAATAGTCAAAAATAGTCTGGGGACTATTTTAGGAATATGTTTTGGCCCTTTTGGAAAATTACTTGCGTATTTTTTTGATTTTTCGTCGAAAATCCCCCTGTGAGGGGACACGCCCGACTTAAGAGCAGGAGATGGGAGCAGACAGCGATACTGTGCGAAAGAAGAAAAAGGAAGAAAGAACAGGAAGAGAGGCCAGAAAGAGGGGAAGGCCGAGGGGCCCGGGAGGAGGACAGCAAGCAGCATAGGGTGTTCGGCCTGGTGCAGGCGGCGAAGGGAGCAGACGGCTGACCCGATGCTCGACCCGCCAGGTTTCCTGAGGGAGACTCCACCTGCTCGACACAGGCGCCCAAAACAGCCAAGATCTACTCCATGGGGGGGGGGGAAAGGGTGCGAGGGCCCGCGCCGATCGGCAAAGCAATGAATAAGAACACGATCACCTCTTCGTCCCGAATCGTTGCTGGACAATCCCAGGGCCCGTGGAGGGCCCCATGAGCCCGAAGACGAGGAAAAAACTCAAGACCCGTCTCAAGCGTAGGCAGAACTGGGTTTGGCGGGACCTGGTTTAGTGATGTGTACTGGGGGACGCCCCCCCGCCCCATTCCACTAACCGGAACTGCCGTCACCCGAGAAAAAACGCCAGCTGCGGCAGACCTGGTTCAGTGATTCTGGCCACTTTCGGGGCTCCAGGGCCCTACCACTGCTGACTGGGTCCCCGTTGCCTGGGGTCCTGGCTATATCCGACCGTCTCCCTCGGGACCCGCTGCCTTCATGGCGACGACAGTGCCCTGCACTCCTCAGTGAGCCCCGGGGGGCCGCCGCGCTGCCGGCCAACGCCCCCCCCCCCCCCTCGTCCACCGCGCTCCGGGCGCGCTCCCGCCCCCGGGGCGCACGAGACGGGACCCCCGTCGGTGGGGGGACCTCCCCGACGCTTGCTAACGAGGGAAGCGCCCAGATCTCCGACGGCATGAGCTTCTTGAACTTGGGCGAGCAACGACATATGTACATGTACGCCCTCCGCGGTCTTGCCTGCACGAACGTCCGCGTTGACACGCACTCTGGGGGAAACTAGCCGCGTACGTGTACATATGTTGCTGGCCTCTGAGAACTGGCGGTTCTCCTCGAGTTCGGCCCTCTGGGGGCAGTTCTCGGGCCCCGGGACCATCAGGCGTGGATCCGGGACGAAAAAAACTGGCCCCAGGAAAGCGGCCTGGCCCTCAGAGGCTGCGGATTGGAAAAAAAACAGACCGACGGATGCCAGGGAGCACGGCGGATGCTGCAACTCGAGATGAAGGGAACCGGGAGGGTGAGGAGTCGCCATGCTTAGAAACAAACGAAGAGTATGATGGCCGCTGCATCTTAAGGTGAAGGGAGAGCAGGGGCGGCAGGACGATACGGAGCGAACGCGCCCTGAGGAGTCACCATGCTTATTCAAGGTGAAAGGGGAGTGGGGAGTACGAGAACGTTGCGAAGTTAAGGTTTCCAGAGGAGTCGTCATGCTTACAACAAACACCAGGGGTGTGGTGGCTGCGACATCTCAAGGTGAAGGGGAGCGGGAGGGGTGAGAACGATGCGGAGCGAAGATGCCCAGAGAAGTCGCCGTGCTTAGAAACAGACCAAGAGTGTGGTGGCAGATGCATCTCAAGACGAAGGGGAGCGGGGGGAGTGATGACGATGTGGAGCGAGCGTGCCCTGAGGAGTCGCAGTCTCGGCCACGCCCCATGCGATGCAGGGGCGGCAGGGGCACTTGCGTAAACACGAAGGGGAATGTCAATATGACCTTTCATGGCATTGCACACGTAGTCCAAAGCATGTGGACGAGGAGGAGAAGGGCGAGGTGGAGGAGGAGGAGGACGACGACGACGACGAGGGAGAGGAGGAGGAAAAGGAGGAGGAGGAGGAGGAGCATGAGGAGTATGGAGAGGAGGAGACAGGACAGCAGTGAATATCAGCACAGGCCACAGCAGCACTACCAGCAGCCTTGGGCGCAAGAGCAGGAGCAGGAGTCGCAGCAGGAAGGGGAACGGGAACGAGGAGACGCGGATGCAGGAAGAGGGAGGGGGCGGGGAGGAATGGGCGAGGAAGGCGAATAGGAGAGAGGATGGAGGAAAGCAGATGGAGAGAGGACGCAGCTTTCCCCTCCTTCTCGTCCTTCCTGTCCCCTCTGTCTTCCTCCGAAAAATCATCGTCGGTGTCGTCACCGTTCGCATTATCATCACCATCATCATCATCATCATCATCATCATCATCATCATCATCATCATCATCATCATCATCATCATCATCATCATCATCGTCATCCTCATCATAATCATCATAATCATCATCATCATCATCATCATAATAATCATCGTCATCATCATCATCATCATCATCATCGTCATCCTCATCATAATCATCATAATCATCATAATCATCATCATCATCATAATAATCATCGTCATCATCATCATCATCATCATCATCATCATCGGCGTCGTCGCCGTTGTCGTCGCTGACACATGCTGGGTGCGCATACTGCTGAAGTAGCTTACACCTCGAGAGGGCACTGTCTGCGCCGGATCCCACAATGAGGCTACAGCGGCACAAACCACCATAACTACGCACCTTGCTCTTGGACGACAGCTTGACATAAACGTTGCCCTGATAACAAGTTTGCGGAAATTCCACCGCGTCGCACCATTCGAGAAAACGAGTGGGCGTTCCCTCGCCAGTGAACCTTGCCATTGCAGCACTCTTACTGCCCACGACCTCAATGGTACGCCAGAAGACCGGACTAATCCGGCACCCGGGGCCATGGACAGTATGCGTTGCGCCTCTTCCATCATTCCCAGGCTTCCAGATTGTCCTCCGCAGCCCCTTGCTCAGAAAAGGGCATGGCCTGCTCAGCGGGCCGCTGCTCAGCGCGCGAGGCGAGCGCGAACAGGAAGACCTGAATCAGAGGGGTGCACTCCTTAACTTCCTGCTGCGTCCCCGCCGCAGCGCCAAGGAGAGGAAAGGCATGCGCTCCGAAACGCTCGCCAGACGGCCATGACGGAGGGCGTCCGACACCGCTGGGAAACTCCGGCATGAAGGGAAGGGGTCCTCGAGGAAACGGGCCCTGCACCCTGGGGCTTCGACCGGGGCTGGCTTCGCATCCCCTGCCACTTGTTGACAGTCCCCTGGGGCCCGGGAGGGCTCAGAGAACCGCGGCAGGCCCCCTGGACGCGCCTGCTCCAGGACCTCCCTCCCCCATGGCGGAAATCAGGGGCCTCAACGGCTGAGCGCGACCGAGTCCCCGGGACCTGGCACCAAGGACTCTTCTCCACCTTCGAGCTCCTCCTCCTTCACCTCCTCCTCCTCCTCCACCTCCTCCTCCTCTTCCTCCCCCCCTCCTCCTCCCCCTCTCTCTCCTCATCCTCCTCATCCTCCTCTTCTTCTTCTGCTTCTTCTTCCTCCTCCTTCTCCTTCTCCTCCACGAGGACAGGCCCCCGTCGGCGAAGGGCCCGGCAAGGCCATCCACCTCTGCCTTCCTCGGCCTCGTCGTCGACGACGACGCCGCCGACGGCGGCTGCGACTTGAGCACGCCGAGGATCCCCAGGACATGGCGCCAAAGCGCTGCCGCCCGAGAACATGAGGACGGCCCAGAGCCTCAGGGGGCCATCTTGGGGCCACCTTGGAGGAGATTGATCCAAGGAGGGGCCGCAGTACATCAGGGCCCCCTCGCCAGGAGGCCAAAATGTTGCCAAAACGTCTGATCATCAATGATGTTGGCCTTCTCGACGAGGCCTCTTGGGCGTCTGGCGTGCCTCTGGGGGGCCTCTTGCGGCCTCTTGAGGGTCTCTGGAGATCCTCTTGGGGGGCATCTTGCGGTCGTCAGCCACGGCGCCGAGCCCGGCAAGGCCATCCGCCTCTGCCTGCCTCGGCCCGTCGTCGCCGTCGACCCCAGACCCTGCCTGCCTCTTCCCCTCCCCCTACTACTCCCCAGGAGAGTAGCAGGGAGAGGGAACGTTGTCGGGGAGCGAGGAGGGGGGGAGTGAGAAGGGGAAGGCTTTAATTCAATGATGCAAGCGCGAATCATGCCCGAATTGAATGATGCAAGCGCGTGGGCCCAAAACAGCTCACCGGTACAGAAAAATGTGGAACCTCACCTGTGCGCAAGTGGGGTGTGGACCCCAGGACCAGAGAGGTGGGAGGGGGGGCGCAGGGATCCATAGGAACCCATCGAAACCAAAGCAGCCACCACGGAAAGTGCGGCGCACGGGGCAAGCGTGGGGGGCAGATGCATCCATAGGAACCCATCGGGGTCAAGCAGACACTGCGGACAGCGGCGCAAACAGGGCTTCTGGAGTGTGTGTGTGTGTGTGTGTGCGTGGTGTGGTGTGGTGTGTTGTGTGTTGTGTGTTGTGTGTTGTGTACTGTGATGTGTGCTGTGTGCTGTGTGTTGTGTGTTGTGTGTTGTGTATTGTGCTTTGTGTTGTGTGTTTTGTGTGTTGTGTGTTGTGTGTTGTGTGTTGTGTGCTGTGTGCTGTGTGCTGTGTGCTGTGTGTTGTGTGTTGTGTGTTGTGTGTTGTGTGTTGTGTGTTGTGTGGGTTGTCTGTTGTGTGCCGTGTGTTGATTGTGTTGTGTTGTGTGGTGCGCGTTGTGTGTTGTGTGTTGTGTGTTGTGTGCTGTGTGGTGTGTGTTGTGTGCTGTGTGTTGTGTGCTGTGTGTCGTGTGTTGTGTGGTGCGCGTTGTGTGCTGTGTGTTGTGTGTTGTGTGCTGTGTGGTGTGTGTTGTGTGTTGTGTGCTGTGTGCTGCGTGTTATGTGTTGTGTGTTGTCTGCTGTGTGTTGTGTGCTGTAGGTTGTGTGCTGTGTGTTGTGTGGTATGAGTTGTGTGTCATTGTGTGTTGTGCTTTGTGGTGTTGTGTGTTGTGTGCTGAAGGGTTGTATGAGGTGTGCCGTGTGTTGATTGTGTTGTGCTGTGTGGTGTATGCGTTGTGTGTTGTGCGTGTTGTGAGTTGTGTGCTGTGTGCTGTGTGTTGTGTGTTGTGTGTTGTTTGTTGTGTGGTGCGTGTTGTGTGTCGTGTGCTGTGTGTGGTGTGTTGTGTGCTGTGTCTTGTGATGTGTGGTGTTGTTTGTGTGGTGATTGCTGTGTGTTGTGTGTTATGTGTTATGTGTTGTGTGCTGTAGGTTGTGTGGTGTGCGTTGTGTGATGTCTGTTGTGTGTTGTGTGTTGTGTGCTGTGTACTGTGTGTGGTGCGTTGTGTGTTGTGTGTTGTGTGCTGTGTGTTGTGTGGTGTGTGCTGTGTGCTGTGCGATGTATGATGTGTATTGTGTGTTGTGTGCTGTGTGTTGAGTGCTGTGTGCTGTGTGATGTGCGTGGTGTGTTGTGTGTTGTGTGTTGTGTGTTGTGTGGTGCGCGTTGGGTGTTGTGTGTCGTGTGCTGTGTGGTGTGTGATGTGCGTTGTGTGATGTGTGTTGTGTATTGTATAATGTGTATTGTGTAGTGCAGTGTGTGTTTTGAATTGTGTGTTGTATGTTGTGCGTTGTGTGCTGTGCGATGTGTGTTGTGCGTTGTGTGTTGGGTGCTGGGTGTTGTGTGGAGTGTGTTGTGTGGTGCGTACTGTGTGTTGTGTATTGTGTTTTGTGTGTTGTGTGTTGTGTTATGTGTTGTGTGTTGTGTGTTGTCTTGTGCGTTGTGTGTTGTGCGTTGTGTGGTGTGTGTTGTGTGTTGTGTGTTGTGTGCTGTGCGTTGTGTGCTATGCGTTGTGTGTTGTGTGGTACGTTGTGTGTTGTGTGTTGTGCGTTGTGTTTTGTGTGTTGTGTGTGTTGTGTGTGTTGTGCGTTGTGCGTTGTGCGTTGTATGTTGTGCGTTGTGCGTTGTGTGGTGTGTGTTGTGTGTTGTGTGTTGTGTGTTATGTGTTGTGTGTTGCGGGTTGCGTGTTGTGTGTTGTGTGTTGTGCGCTGTTCGTCATGAGTTATGTGTTAGGTGTTGTGTGTTGTGTGTTGTGTGCTGTGCGTTGTGTGTTGTGTGTTGTGTGTTGTGTGTCATGTTGTGTGTTGTGTGTTGTGTGTTGTGTGTTGTGTGTTATGTGTGTGTGTCTGTGTGTCTGTGTGTCTGTGTGTTTGTGTGGTATGATATATGTAGTGTATGTTGTGTGTGGTGTGTGTGGTGTGTAGTGTGTGTGTGTGTTGTGTGATGTGTGTGTTTGCGTGTTTGTGTGTTTGTGCGTGTGTTTGTGTGTTTGTGTGCTTGTGTTTGTGTGTTTGTGTGTGTTTTTGTGCGTGTGTGTCTTGCCGCCAGCGCAGTCACTCTGTCTAGCCGCCGACGCGAAACTATATGTGTGCGTGTGTGTGTATGTGTGCATGTCTGTGTGTTTGTGTGTCTGTTTATGTGTCTGTGTCTGTGTCTGTGTCTGTGTCTGTGTGTGTTTGTGTGTGCGTGCGTGCGTGCGTGCGTGCGGGCGGGCGGTGCCTGCGTGCGTGCGTGCGTGCGTGCTTGCGTTCGTGCGTGCGCGCGCGCGTTCGTGCGTGCGCGCGTGTGTGTGTGTGCTTGTGGGTGTGTTTGTAGGTTTGCGCCTGCCTGGGTGTTTCTGGATGATGTACCGCTTCGAGGTGCCGCCTGGCCACCACGAGGACGATCGCGCGACACTCGGACGCGTCAGAGCCAGCGCCCACCGAGCCTGGCGACTCCACCTGGGCACCTCGGTGCGTCTCTGAAGCAGGCTGCGCTCAACCACAGGGACCGCGCAGCGGGCCCGGGGAGGTTTGCACCCCAGCCGCGGGCACGGCCCACGGAAAGCAGGGACCAGGGACCCAGGGCCAAGGAGCCCCGAGCCAAGACAGCAAGCAGGCAGCCGCGCCGACCCGCGCGCGCTGCGCGCTGCCCCCCCCGCCCCGACCCCCCCTCTTCAGACGAAGCCAGGACCGGGAAAACAAGCTACACTGGAGCAACTCGGAGACCTCTGAGACCTGGCAATTGTGAAGGATGCGTCGGGCGCCGCGGCCGTCCCAGAGCGCTCCGGAGCGGCTCAGCTCAGTCGTCCCCGAGACGTCTGACGCCCCAGACATCCGGCGATCTGACTTCCCTGGGGCCGGTGCTTCATCCTGCGCAGGTTCTTGACTGTCCCCGGGCCCGTTGAGGGCCCCCAGAGGCCGAAAGCAGTCGAAAATCAGCAGCCGCTCCAAGCTTGTCGGAGCCTCAGATCTCTGGGCTCTCCGCCGCCACCTTTGCCTGGCTGCCACCGCGGCGTCGCGCCCGCCGGGGGGCCAGGCGGGGGAGCGGCACCGAGTCCGCCCGTCTCGACGGCGCAGGAGCCCGCGGCCGCTGTCCCGCTCCCGGTCAAAGACCCACCTTTGGCAGCTCAAAGACGGGGCCTCTAGGGATGGGGCTCCACGGCCAGGAAGCCAGGGCTACATCTGTACTGCTCGAGACCGCTCGTCCTGACACCCCTCTATAGAGCAGAGTGGCGCATCGCTTGCAGGTCGTGTCGAAGAATCGTCCAGGGGTCTTCCTGGGGGTGCTTCTCCACCCTGGGTCCGCTTCTGACGGCCCTGGGGCCACCAAACCGTCCCCTGCAGGCCAAACGCGTGGACAAAGCCGACGGCGACGACAACAAGCAAATCGTCGACCATCGAAGCTGCACCACGTCTCCCGGGCAGGTCAGTGCCCCATCCCCCAGGGCCCCATCCTTGAACCGCCAAACTCGGGAGCGGCCAAGAGGGGGGTGTCCAAGAGGGGGGGTGCAAATCATGACCAGCGGCATGTGCGCGGCCCAGCGGGGGGGCCAGGGACGCAATGAAATGAGAAGAGGAGCCGTGAAATCTGAGGAAACATCATGGCCCCCGCCATGATATCCACCCCCCCATAGTCATCACCCCCCTCTCTGCCGCCCCCGACAAAAACTGCGCGGGGTCGGCACCGGATCGGATCGCCGGCGCACAACAGCGCCAGGCAGGCACCGGGCCGCAGCGGATGAACCGGAGAGCGGAATCGAATCGAATCGGGTCGCCCAGGGCCGATGTCGGACCGGACCGGTCGGATCGACGTGGCCCCTCGTCCTCAGGGCCCCCTCCCTCGGTGCCCCATCCACCGGACAGGGGCAGGCCTCCACACACTGACAAGAGGCATGCGCAAGAGCGTGGAGCCTCGATCCTTGCTCCTCGAGCCGACGGCGACGGCAGCGGCGGCGACGCCGACGACGAACACGACGACGGGAAGGCGACGACGACGACGACGACGACGACGACGACGACGACGACGACGACGACGCCCACCACCACCACGACGACCACGACGACGACCACGAACGACACCTGGCTGCAACCCGTACCCCCCCCCCCCGCCCCCGCGCGCGCGCGCCGACCGTGGCGCGCTGGCACTGCTGCTGGCAGACGGGCTGCGGCTTCCCTCGCCGCGCGCCGCGGGGGAGCGCGAGGGAGCGGGGACGAGCGCTCCTCCCGAGGGAGAGCGGTCGGGCGCCCGAGGGAGAGCGGTCGGGCGCTGCGCCGATGGGACGAGGGCGAGAACTGTGGAGCAGGAAGCACGGCAAATCGGGCGCTGCGTGTGGACGTCGGGCGCTGCGCCATTGAGGGGGGGGGGGGGGGCGAGAGCCGTAATTAGAGAAGAACTGCAGGAGCAGAAGCCGTCGGAGCTCCGCGCGGATTTCTCTTGGACTTGCGCAGGGGGGGGGCCCTGTCGCGCCGCCTCTGGCGCCGCCCCCGGTGCGCTCCGCCCGCCAGGGAGGGGAGCCCAGCGCCGGTTCGAGAAGTCCGCGCGGAGCTCCGGACGTTTCTGGCCGTGCAGCCTTGCTTTGTTCATCAAGGCGCGCCAGAAGTCCGGGGTCGAAGGTCGCAGCGGACCCCGAGGGCGGCGCAGTCATCGAGCGCGAAAGGTCTGGAGCCCCTCCGAGGCCCCGAGCGTGGCCGAAAGCGGCGCGCTCTCCCCCGGGACGCCGACCCCGCATCTTCGCCAGGACCCGACAAGACAGCTTCCATCAATGAAGTGGCTCCTCACCGTGCCGCCGAGGTGGGCCCCGAGGCCCTGCCAGCACAAGCAATTGGTCCCAGACACGGCGTGAAGGCTGGAAGAGGACCCAGCGAATGGGCAACGAGGAGCCCCGCGGGAGAAAGGGCAGGGCGGGCCGGAGCGTTTTTCGAGCAGGCGCCCAGCCGCCGAGGCCAGCAGAGACTCACGGGGGGTGTGAAGAACGGTGCGCCTCTCGTGAGCCCTTTCTTTTCGTGGCCGTCCGCCCCCCCCCCCGTGCCCTCTGGGGTCCCACAGGGGCACGAAAGGTGCACGCGTCTTCGCCACCCCCCGTGAGCGAAGAGCAAAAAAAAGGAGGGCACGCGAGATGGCAGAGCGACCCTCCGCGGCCTGCGCGGGGCGCCAGCGAGGCACGCCGCATTGGGAACGAGGGCGCTCACGCGGGCAGCTCACGCGCCGAAGTCAGTGAAGACGACCCCGTTGTCCCGCGCCGCTCGTGCATTCCCCCCCCCATGAAGCGGCGCCGAATCAGAGCTGGGCAGACGGGCGCCCAAAGGAAATCTCGGCCGATCCGGCGGCGCGTTTGTTTGGACGACGGCGCCGGTCTCGCCGAAGAGATGGAGGAGGGCCTCCAGGAGAGCCCGGGTCGCCTACCTGGGCCGGACGCGCAAGGGACCGACACCCTCCCCCACGCTTTATCGTCCTCGTGGCGTCCTCATGTATACGGGGCCGTCAAGAGACGACTCGGGACGAACAACTGGCCCAGCAGGGAAGTTGCCCAGACCTCCGGGGGTCCACGTCCGGCGGCCGCTGCTGCGCACTGCTGGGCGCTGCTGGGCGCGGCTGCGCGCGGCGCCGCCGTGGCTGCCGTGGCTGCTGGGCCAGGGCCCCTATCGGGCCCCCACCGAGAGAGATCCGAGACACCGAAAAAGCTGGAGCGGACGTTGTTTGGCTACAGTAGGCAGCAGGAGCTCGACCACAAGAAACCTTCCAGAAGAAACCCAACCCTGAGACCCCAGGGCGTCCATTGATTGTGGGTGTGGGAACGCCAGCCAAAAAACGACTCGGGACGAAACAAAACGACCCAGTGGACGCGGTCCAGACCTCCTGGGCGTCCACGCGTAAAGAAAATTGGAGCACCGCATGTCTGGGCTCGGGTCCCCCCGAGCCCTCTCGGGGATCCCAAGACGGTGCGGTGACGGACCGAGTGGAGACCTCGAAATCTCCAAATACCTCACCGCACGGCCCGTCACCGCACGGCTTGGGGACCTTGGAGGCCACAGTCGCCAGAGACATCCTGGAAGAATGACCCAAGTCCAACCCAAAATCGTCTGGTGGCCCCGAATCCCCACTGACTCACCACATGGTATGATCTCCGCAGCGTTTGGGGGCCCCCGATCTCTCCTCTGCGAACGACGCCGACGTCAAGAATGTACGACCGCCCGACATGATCGCGGCGACGTCTGGAACGCGCCTTTCGGTGTGCCAAAATCGCGGGGAAACCAAAATAATACCATGATTCCCGGGACCTTTCCTGGGCTGCGCTCTGGCCAGAAATTCCAGAAGAATCCAGCCATGGCGAGAAAGACTCTCTAGGACGAGCAGGGGTGTCGGTACATGCTGCGCAAGACAACCATATCAGATTCGGCCGCCAGCCTTGGATCGCCTGGAGTGCACTTGGTCCTGGGCCTAGGTGACCCCATGGCCACGCAGAGGCGGATGCCTGGGATATAGGGTCGGCTTTTCGCCCGCAGCGCTTCGCCGCGAACATATCGCGAACAAAAGAAAAGCCTCCCTCGAAGACAAGCAAAATATACGTCAGCGACGTGGCCCAGGGAAGTGGAGAGACCACCCGGAATCTGTCGCAGACCGCGGGAAGCTGCTGCCAGCACTCGTCGTCGTCGTCGTCGTCATCGTCGTCGCCGTCGTCGTCAACGTCGACAACGTCGTCAACGTCGTGGTCGTCGTCAACGGCGTCGTCGTCGTGGTCGTCGCCGTCGTCGTCCTCGTCCTCGTCGTCGTCGCCGTCGTCGTCGTCGGCCTTCAGGGTCGGCGGCACTGGCCGTACAGCCTTCGAAATGTATACGTCAGCGACGTGCTCCAGGAGTGGAGACCGCTGGGAACCGCTCTGCAGCAGACTTCGGGAGCTGCTGGCGGCACTCCGCGCACGGCAAGCCACTCCTCCGACCGCCTGGGACCTCAGCAGGGCAGCCTCCTGACACAGGAGGAGGACGAGGGAGGATAGGAGGAGGAGGAGGAGGAGGAGGAGGAGGAGGAGGAGGAGGAGGAGGAGGAGGAGGAGGAGGAGGGAAGAGGAGCAGGGAAGAGACGAGCGTGGGGAAGGAAAGATGGAGGAGGGGGAGGAAGAAGCAGGAGGGAGCGGATGGGGGAGGAGCGTGCAGGGAGAAAGGGGACGCAGGTGGGAAAAGGGGGAGGACGCAGGAGGAGCGAGGAGGGAGGAGTCCTGGGAGGAGGAGCACGAGGAATACAAGCGACAGAAGCGAATCCCACAGACTAGCGGCGCCCCCAGGGTGCGGCAAATGGAAGGAAAAACGTGACGAAGAGCACCACGACGAGCAGCAGGACGCCCCACAGCGCCAAGCCGCTTCCCTCGGAACTCTCGCCGCGTCGGTGCGGACCTCCTCAAGGCGTACTCACGCCGGGCGGCGCCCCACCTCCCCTGGGAGCTCTCACCGGCACGGACCCCCTGGGCCACGGGGGTGTACGAACGGTGGTCGGCGCAGCTGCAGCCCGACGGCGCGCATGACTTTTCTTTCCCTCCACGCACCCAAACAAGGTTAGTGAATTCTCTGGTCCGCGTGCGTCAGTAGGCGGCACGCACAAGGGGATATGGGGGAGGGGGGAAGGCTTCTTAGAAGCAGGGGTGCTTCTGAGAAGCCTACCCCCTCCCCCCTACCCCCCTCTGCGCGTGTCGGGGGCGCGCAAGCACGGATTAGCGATCCATGGATCTGGCGCGCGGTCGCCACATCCCTGGATCGGGGGAGGTGCGGCCGGCGCCGCCTCGCTAGGCGGCGGAGGTCAGCGATTCCCCACGAGAGCGGGGCCCGGCGCCAGTCCACGCCCCCCGTGGAGCCATGCCTAAAGGGAAATTAGGACACACAAACAAATACACACAAATAAAAACAGTCCCCATATATTTCCCATATCTTCTGGGTTTTTGTCTTCCCCCCCCAATTCCCATATTTTCCCATATTTTCCTGGGAATCGAGGATTCATTGTGTCTGTGTGTTTTTTTCCCTCCGGAATGCCCTGCGAGCGCCCGCGCGGGGCCGCGCCAGGATCTCGCCAGAGGCCGCGCGTGGCCGCGCGGCGGAGGCGCGGCCGGGGCAGCCGCAAGAGGCCCCACGGGCGACCACGGGGCCTCCCGCCGCCGGGATCGCGCAGGGGCGCAAGGGGGGGGAGCGGCAGAGAGCGGCGGCCTCGGCCGGCGCAGCAGTCCGAAGGGGCCCAGGGGCACACGAGTCCTCCTGCTTCCCTCTCCTCCTCCTCCTCCTCCTCCTCCTCCTCCTCCTCCTCCTCCTCCTCCTCCTCCTCCTTCTCCTCCTCCTTCTCCGCCTCCGCCGCCTCCTCCTCCTCCTCCTCCTCCTCCTCCTCCTCCTCCTCCTCCTTCTCCGCCTCCGCCTCCTCCTCCTCCTCCTCCTCCTCCTCCTCCTCCTCCTCTTTCTCCTCCTCCTCCACACGAATAAACAGGCACACACATCCCAGGATCCCCCCTGTGTTGCCCACATGTTCTGGCGTTTCGTCTCTCCCTCCACTTCCCACACTGTCCCCATCTGTTCCTGGGACGTGTCGATGGCCCGTGGGTCGAAAGAAGTGGGTAGCAGCATGAAGTGTGAAGGCGTTGAAATAGATTGGGCGTCCACCCGCCCCCTGAAGAGGAGGGAGGAGGGACAACCGCTCGGCGCTTGAAGCAGGAGGGCGCCCAGGTAGATTAGGATCTGGGCATCCAAAAATACCTGCTTCCAATGACCATCGTGTGTGCGTGTCGGTGCCCATGTTTCCCTCCTGGCAGTCGCCGCCCTGAAGCTACGATGGGCTGCGCCCAGACCGCCCCTGCGCAGGAGAGGGGCGCCGCACCGCAGCGAGGGCGTGCTGCGAGGGAGCGGAGCGCTCTCCGCGCGCCGCTGGCCGGCCCAGGCTGCCGCGGCCGCCCCCGACGCCCGCCAGCCTCTGGCGGCCCCTCCGTCGACGTGGCGCGCGGAGCCCAAGCAGGGCTCGACCTAAAATCGACGCGACGGCCTCAGCCTGCAGCACGACGCCAACGGCCTCGACATGACGGCCTCGGCCTGTCGACCCGAATCGACGTGACGGCCTCCTCACCTGCAGCACAGCCGCGCCCTCCTGGAGCGAGGGGCAACGATCGGGGGGGACTGGCATAGAGGGGGGGGATGCATGGACCCGGAAGCGGCGATACATCGCCGATAGATCGCCGATGGGCCTCTGACAGTGAGTCCGCACCTTCCTGTAGGCAGCTTGGGGCTATCGGGCCCCTGTCGGCGATGCATGGGCGACTGGGGGTCGATGCCTCCCCCCCTGTGCCCATGCCCATCCCCCCCTATCGCTGCCCCCGCTGGAGCCTCGTCGCGAGGAGCCCGGGGACGCCGGGCCGGTGGCCCGTGGAGGAGCGCCAAGGGAGTGCGGCTGCCGTGGCCGCCCGCAGCCGCGCGCCGGCCTGGCGCGGCCCCTCCACCGGCCGGAGCCGGGCGCTCTCGACCTGCGCGGCGCGGCTCGTGCTCGCGCCGTGCTCGTGCTCTGCCCTGGCTCGTCTCCGCGGCCGCTGCCTCGAGGCCGAGGCGAGGGCGGCCCACGAGAGCTCCGAAGCGCCGGGCAGGTCGAGCCCCCCGAGCCAGTGGCGGACCTGCGCGGCGTGGCTCGTCCTCGCGCCGTGCTCGTCGCGCCCTGCAGTTCGTCTCCGGCCGCGGCTTCCTGCTGCAGGGCGAGAGGCCGAGGCGAGGGCGGCCCACGAGAGCTCCGAGACACCGCTCGGGTCGAGCCCCCCGAGCCAGAGCGGCCGTCCTGCGCGTCCGCCGGCGCCGGCGCGGTCCGCACCAGCACTCGTGCTGCACAAGTGCGCGGGGCGCGGAGAGGGGCGCTGCTGGGCACGGCGAGCCTCTCCGCTGCGGGCAGGGTCCCCCCCCTTGGCCTGGAGCCCCGAGGAGCGGCCGCAGGCCAGGGCCCCTCACGAGCCACGGGTGGCCCACGTCGCAGCGTCCTGGCCGTGGCGCGGCCGCCTGCCGCGCTGCCAGCTCGGCCTCGGCCTCTGCGGCGTGACCGCCCGTCGGCTGCGGCGCGGCCTGCGGCGCCTCTGGGCCCGGCGCTGCCACCGCGACCTGCAGGAGGAAGGAGGGAGGAGAGAGGAGCAGGAGGAGGAGGGAGGAGCAGGGCGGAAGAGGAGGACGGGATGAGGGAGGGATGAGGGAGGGAGGGAGGTAGAGGAAGAAGCCGGGAGAGGGAGGGGGGAGGGGAGGGAGAAGGCCCCCGACCGCCCTCCTCAGACCCTCCCAAGGCGCCAAAAGCCTCCAATTGCCCTCTACAGGACCCCGAACACCCTCCGAAGGTGGGAACCGCGCGTATGTGCACTGAGGCATCCGGCCCCCCGCCCCATATGGCGGATTCCGAAAACCCTGAACCAAAAGATGTTGTCATCTCTTGGGGGCGCATTTGTTACTTCCGCCACCTTCCGCTGCCCTTCCACCAGCTTCCGCCGGCGGAGGCGGCCTCGTTCTACTTCCACCGACCTTCCGCCGCCTTCCGCCGAGGAAGAGACGACAACTCATTCGATCCTCGAATGCAAGGCCCTTCCCTTTTTGGAACGCCTCAGATGGCCTCGCAGAGACGCCACGGCACAACCTACGTACATACTTTTCTGGCCGGTCCTCCGGGCGACAGGTGTGGAATTCAATGCCTGCACAGTGCTGGGGCCACCCTTTGCCACGATGCTTCCTCGGACATGCGAAGTCCTGATTTTGTTCGACGCGCGGTCCCCGAAGTCCCGACCCTTTCCCCTGGACCGGCTTCTCACCCTGACTCGTTTTTTGACGGTCCCGAGGCCCGGAAGGGCCCCCCGAGACCGGAAACGGCCGGGAACCTCACGCCGTGACTTTTTCTCTCGGCGACGCGATCACGCCTGGGTCTGGCCCGCCGAATTCGCCCTCCGAAGGACCAGGACTCCTTCTGGCGCGCGGCGGCGGTGGCCGCCTCGAGCGCCGCGGCGGCCTCCGCGCCGTCGCCCGCGCGACCGTCTCGCTCGGTGGCCTCCCCGCGCCCCGCCGGGCCCCTCCCGTGGGACCCAGCAGCGACGACCCCGACGGCGACGGCGGCGGCGGCGGCGCGCCACGGCAACGCCGTCGGCGACGGCCAGCCACGGTGAAGACGACGACGACGACGACGACGACGACGACGGCGACGACGACGACGACGACGACGACGACGACGACGACGACAACGACGACGACGGCGGCGGCGGCGGCGGCGGCGGCGGCGGCGGCGACGACGACGACGGCGGTAACGGCGACAACAACGACGACGACGACGACGACGACGACGACGACGACGCAACGACGACGACGACGACGACGACGACGACGACGACGACGACGACGACGTTGACGACGGCCACGGCGATACCGGCAGCAACGACGATGGCGGCGGCGGCCGCCCCCCAGCCCGGCCCCAGAGGGCTCGGCGAAGTCCGCCGGTCCCCGTGCCTGGTCCCGGCCAGGCCCTTGCTGGGCTGAGGGTCAGGTCGGGCTTGTCCCTCTACAGGAGGAATGTTCAAAAATAGTTTTAAAAAATAATCTGGGGACGATCTGTTGGGCATTTCTGGGCCATGTGAGGGTATTGTTTGAATATGTTTGTTATTTGTTGTCGAGAATCGCCCTGTAGGTGAACACGCCCGACTTAAGCCCAGGGAGGAGGAGGAGGAGGAGGAGGAGGAGGAACACTAGGAAGACTGGGAGGAGGAGGAGGAGGAGGAGGAGGAGGAGGAGGAGGAGGAGGAGGAGGAGGAGGAGGAGGAGGAGGAGGAGGAGGAGGAGGAGGAGGAGGAGGAGGAGGAGGAGGAGGAGGAGGAGGAGGAGGAGGAGGAGGAGGAGGAGGGATGGAGGAGGAGGAGGAGGGAGGAGGAGGAGGAGGCAGGGGACAGGCGCAGGTCGGCGGCGAGCCCTGTGGAGATGCAGAGACAGCAGTGCCAAGCAATGCCAACCGATGCCAGGCGATGCCAAGCAGTGCCAAGCAGCGCCGAGCAGCGCCAAGCAGTGCCAAGCACTACGCCCCTGTAATGTTTTTTGTATATTATGGGAGAGGGGGGTGAAATGGGAAGGGCAGGGAGAGGGGGGGAAAGGGAAGGGAAAGGAAAGGGAAGGGCAGGGAACGCGCGAGCACTGCGCCCATGAAATGGGAAGCCTTCCCCAAATTGGGGTCGCGCCACACTCATGAAATTGAAGCCGAGGAGCCCCGGGAACCAGGCGGACTTCTCCAAAGGCTAGGAAGGCCTCCGGCCTTCTGAGAAGTTCTCTGCGCCCTCCCCGAAGACATAAGAAAATGAGCCCAGCGCGACCCCAATTAGGGGATTGCCTTTTTCTTGAATTAAGCGTGCCCAAGGGGTTCTCTTCCTTGGTTAAAGGTTGGTGCCTACAGAAGCTAAGACGAAGCGAGGACCGGGACAACATCGGACTGGGCCTAATCGGGGATCTCTGAGATCGGGCGGGCCGTTCCAGAGCGCTCTGTGACGCTCTGAAAGCGTTCCAGACGCTCTGGAGCGATTTCTCCCGGTCCTAGGCCAACCCGAAAACGCCCACCAGGCTGAGCCAGAGAAGCATGATAGAGTCATGATAGAGTCACTCCCGGTCACAGGATCAGCGCGTCAAGGATCGGTGGGGCGGATAATGAACGTCCCACCGATCCTCCTGCTCTTAAATGCCTCGGTATGCGCGTTTTGTAGCGCAACACGTCCCGTGTTCAAGACGTCCGTGCCAATACTCCACGTATTGGACCACGTTTTGGCGCATGTATCGCGTCGGACCCACGTTTTCAGTCTGCGTGTTGAGCCCCGTATCAATCCGGTACGTGTTGCGTGTTGCGTATCGGGGCAGCTGAGCTCCTGCCCCCCCCTCATCAGGGCAAGGCCGTCCACGGCGGCAATGCAACCGAAAACCGACCGAACCGACAAAGAGACCGAAACCGGCCAAAACTGGCAAGCCGCAAGCAGCCCAGAAGGGCACGGCGACGCAGCAACGACGCAACAACCGGCCGAGCTGGACCGACCAAGTGTAACCAGCAGCGGCGCAGCCGAACCGACCGAACCGCGGACACCTGGACACCTGTGCTCCGGATGTCATCCTCCTCCTCCTCTTCCTCTTCTTCTTCTTCCTCCTCCTCCTCCTCCTTCTTGTTCTTCTCCTCCTCCTCCGTAGCCATTTTGGCTCAAGTCCGTAGCGTAAGGCTCTGAGGGTTTGAGTGTGGCACGGGGGAGGTGCGCCCCCGCCTGCGATCCCGTGCCCAGTGGCACGGCATTCCCCTAATGTACGATTCACCCCACAGGTATTGCTGGTACTGTACTGGGGGCTGGCCCACGACACGCTACATGCCTCGGCAGAGCAACGGTTCGTCGTCGTACACCACGTGCCTCTCCTGTGGTAATTGGGCTTGGAACTGGCGTCTCAAGAGGCAGCATGGTGTGTGTGCGCTGTCTGCGAGACACACCAGTCTGGTTTCTCCAAGGATCCCTGGCAGACACGGAGTGGCCAGCCCTGCCCACGGCGACTGAGCAACCGTCGAAGCTGCAGGAGCGTCACCTCACCGCCACTGGCCTCTCCAACGACGCTGGGGCGCTGGCCTTGGTCAGGCAGGTGGCCGACGCTGCGGAGCGGTCCAAGCCTCAGCCGAAGCCGCAGTGCCCCTACGTTGTGCTCCGAACGGCGGCGGCTTTGTGTACGGAGAGGGAGGCCAAGCTTTCCAAGGCGACCAAGGCTCTTCTGGCGGCTGAAAAGTGGTTGGAAGATTGCAAAGTGCGTCAAGCCCAGGCTGCCGAGGAGCTCTTCGAGACGGACCAGTATCGCATCGAGGCCCAGGAGGCGAGGCTGGCCAAATCTGGGGACCACGGTGGCACGGCCCCCGAGTCGGAGTATGTGTCCTTCGGCGTCGACATGGCCCTGTTCGAGAACTTGGAGGAGCACGAGGATGAGGGCCGCAAGAAGCTGGAGGACTTTCAAGTCCAGCTGCAGCAGGTCGCCGAGCAGGCGAAGGCTCGCGAGGCCGAGTGCTACCAAGAAGGCCTCGGCTGCGCCTCGCAAGAATAGGCGCGCTGAAGGCGGGGCCAGAGAGGACGAGGCCTCCGCCACGGGCGAGGGCGACGCCAGTGCTCCTGGGCAAGGTGCTGCGTCTTCGTCGGCAGCAGGGGGCAAGGGCGCCAAGGGCGGCAAGGGCGCCGCCAAGGGCTGCAAGCTCTCCCCTGAGGAGCGTGCCCATATGGTCGAGTCCATCCAAGCGTGAGCCCGCCTCTCGGCCATGGAGGCAGACGCCGTTCCTCCTCGGGGCTCTGTTGCTGGCGCTGCTACTGCTGCGCCTGGTACTCCCAAGGGGCCTCTTTAGTACTGCAGGTAACGACGCTGTCGAGGACGCTAATCTTCTACGGCAACATCACAGAGCGGGAACCACAGGCCCGACGGTTCCCCACGGAGAATTTCTACACGCATTCGGTGGTCGCGTTTTTCGAGACCCATCAGGGCAGCGCCTCCATCCCAGATCATGAAGTGCAGTTGGGCAAGGATGGCTGGCAGCTGTCTTCTACTCCTGCGAGGCCGAGTGGAAGGTCCCAGGATGGCTTTAGCGGAGGCGAGTGGATCCTCACCCGCAAGTTCGTTGCCAGCTCGTCATTCCAGTGCATGAGGGTTCAAGCAAGTTTGGACGGCAGGCAGGACCCATGCAAGGGCTTCGTCCCTCGACCCTGCATTTGAGGACTGGGAATGTGGTGGCGATTGCAGCCTACCTTCAGTTTGGGCTCATGTTTCGTGGCATCAACAACGACACCATGTTCGCCCTCGCCTCGTTCACTCGTGCTTTGGCGGGCCCTTGGTTCGTAGTCGCAGATAGGAACTGTGAGCCGTCATCAGTATTTCAAAGTGGCTGGGTTGAAAGGATGAATGCCAGGCTGGAACGGCCTGATTGCTTGGCCACTTGTGACAAAGGTCCTGGTCGGCCTTATGATTCTGGTATTGCTAACAGCTCCTGCCCCACCCTGCAGATCGCTGGTGTTCCGAATGTACCTTGGAAGACGCACTGTGGGTTGAACATCACAACTAAGGGTGCGCGGATGGAGCGATGGGTCTCAACCAATGGTGCCTCGCAGTTTGCCGTCTACTCCGCGCCCCAAGGCGACTCCTGATCCCGACAGCGAGAGACAAAGGCGGCTGGCTGCTGCCAAGCGTCGGCGGCAGGAGGCCCTTCCTGGGGAGCTTGTGGACGGCTTCATGGAGGTGCAGGAGTTGTTGGATCCTAAGCCAGATGTTGCTGCTATCCACTATTCTGTATCGGAGGAGGCCTGGCTGCGCGCGGCAGCGCAGGCTACCCCCCTCGCTCGCATGCCCAAGTGCACGGAGTCTTGGTGGCAGGCCGCTGATCGAGGCCTGAATGCACCACGCCCACCTCCTCGTCAGTCTCAGCTTCGTCGTCAAGGTGTTCTTCCAGGGGTTGCTCCTGCTGCAAGTACCTCGGCGACAGCGGCCGTGGCCCAGGACGTGCATTCCCTGGGAGGTCGCGGGGCTGCATCGTTGGCTGGACATTATTCAGGTACTTCGTTGTCAGCGGTCGTGGCCCAGGATGTGCATTCCCTGGGAGGTCGCGGGCCGCCCCTCCAGGAGGTCGCCGTCAGGCGAGGCGCCCAGCCTCCTGGCCAGGGCGTGGCACAGCTGTCCGAGCCGCCACGAGACCTCAAGTGCCAGGGGGCGGGTCCATTGTCTGGTTCGGATCAAGAAGGAGGGGCGGCCCGAAGCATGTGTGTTGATGAAGAAGCGGCTGCTCGGTTGTTTGGTGATGCTGGTCACGCCATCATGGGAGGTCCTGCTGTTGCGCTGGCCTCTCCATCGCCCCCGCGTTTCTTCCCGATTCAGTCTCGAAGTTATCAACGTCAGGAACGAGCTCAAGCTGTTGAGTCACCCGTTGCTCACCTGGGTGCGGTTAACAAGGTCGCACCTAACGGTGCGTTGCATGTGTTATTTCGGCAAGGTGTATCTCTGCATTCTAGATTATCGGAGCCA